GTATCAAATATCAAAATGGTTTCTCAATGTGGACAGTATTTGGTAGAGCTCCCAGTTGTAAAACAGGTTTGGAAGCAGGAGTGACATCTATTCCCTAAACCACATACCTCTGGAAACTCTATGAACTTGGAGAAACAATGATAGTTATGGAAAGGCATTAGGCCTTTTCTTCATAGAGTCAGTATGAGTCATGCTTGACTTGACAACAATAAAAAATACCAACTATCAAGGAGATCATATCCCAACAAGGAATACAAAAATGAAAATTACTTCAATGTGTCTCATTTATTAACAATATGTCAATTATCAGAGTCTAAAATACATACATAATTCTGCCTGGATGAGCTGGTATATTTTTTACAAAAAGTGACTTTAGTGTTCAATCTTGAAGGATGATAATGAGTTTGGTGGCTGGATATAAAGGAACAAAACTTTATTCTAAATAAAGGCAATAAAGATATGGTAAGGAGAAATGGGAGGAATGTAAAAGATAAGACAGTAAAGAAATATTTGGGGCAGACTGTTTATACAAAGGAGTGTGAGTTATATACTTTAAGCAATGGAAAGTCAGCGCAGAGTTTCAAGAATATAGATGGCAAAATCAATATAAAAAGTCATTCAGGTTGCTTCAAAGCTGTGCTTCTAAAGAAATGCACTGGAATGTAGCATAGGAACACAGGAAAGAATTATCTAAGAAAAATATGACGTGGGGAGTAGCAAGGCCTGGTAAATGAGAGCATTCTCCTCCCTTAAAGAGGTACAACCTTGGATACTACATGGATGATCACAGAGCCAGACTCCACTCAACAGCAGTGAGTTTGGTTTCTGAGTTTGCAGGTGGGAATGGAAGGAGAGAAATAATCAAATGAACTGGAAGTATTCTATCTTGATTAGATAGAAAGTGGTGTTGGACATTAAAGTTATGTAGAGATAGATAAATCTCTTTTGTGTGGACAGTGCTAATTTTTTTTTTAAACCTGAAAATATCAAGACCGAATTGCTTAGTAGACTAAAGATTTTGACTCCATAACAAAAATATCAATTGTACTGATATGATGCTAGATTGAAAACAACCACAAATTATTCTCAACTCTTGCCTTCAAGAGAAGTCTGTGTCTGACCTTTAAATGTAAATTGACCTGTTTACTTGCTTTGACCATAAAATGCAGTAAAATTGTTACTCTGATGGTTAGATAATGGCTAGGGATGATGGAAGGAGAATTAATGCCTTTGAGCTGTGTGGTTGGAGAAAAGTATTTAATATACCATGGACTGCTAAGAGAACAGGTTCACCCTAGATAGGATGAAATCAGGCTGCTCCTTGGAGGTAAGGATTCTGAAGCTCCGTCTGCCATACCTTGGGGCTGTAATAAGGACGGACTGACTAGTACTTGGAGAGAGACGTTTTGCTTGGGAGGGTGGAGGGATAGTGCAGTAAGGGAAGACCCTCTATGAGATGGATTGACTCAGTGATGGGAGTAATGGGGTAGGAGTGTTAGAGACAGTAGGGTTGGATCATGATAGAGCAGGGTTTGGAGCTGCTGTACATAGGTTCACTATGAGTTGCAAGTAACTTGATGTAACATAACAACAACAACCACAACCACTTTTAAGCCTAGTAATCAAGAGAACTTGTGGACTAGATCCTCGTTATTAGAAGTTTAGCATAAAAATCCATGAATAGAGAAACCAAGGGTAGCCTGACTGAAAACTAGCACCAATCACTACATACTGAGATTGGGTATTTGAGATAATCCAGCCCCAGATGAAGGTCTAGCTGTTTGTGAAAGCATTAGTGACCCCAGGAGAGACTAGCAGAAAGAAAAGTCTCAGCAGAGTCTATCCCAAATTGCTGCTGTGAGTAAATAAAAACTGTGGTGTTAAGCCACTAAATTCTAGAGTTACTTATTACACAGCAGTGTCCTACTGAAATCATTATTTATGTCCTTTTTTACCACTACTTTGTTTATTATTATTTTCAACATCACTTTGCTGTATACTTCCCTATAATTAGAACTACTTTACAAAGTTATGTTGTTTTGATTCCTCAATTAGATGGTAAATTTCTTCAAAGCAACAGCGATTTATTTGTTCTCATCATTATCACATGTAACATGTTTTACTTATATTAATTGATTGCATTGAAAAATAATTCTTGACTCAATAATCACTAAAAAAAGTTTTATCTCAAATCAATAAAGACTTGAATTCAAAATGCTACCAGGATATGGGAAAATATATTTTAAAAGAAAAGGGATAAATATACACTATTTAAGAAAGCCTTTAAACATAATTAAATATATTTTCACAAGCATAAAAACCCAAAATAAACAAACAAACAAAACAACAGCAACCTCAATTTGAGCTTCTGAGAGTGAAAATAAATTTCTTTTAAATTCAAGGATGATATCTCAAACTTCCCCATGTGTTTTTCTTTGCTTTATTATGTATGCTTTTTCTTCATTTCTACTTTGCTTCCTACTCTATCAAAGTCAGCAATCATAGAAAACTTAAGTCTGGAAATGTTTATTGTTAAAATACAAAATGTATGTTTCTTGAGTAGTTCTATATCACTCTAGGGAAGAAAATGCATCTTTCCAAAGAAGGAACCTTCTCAACAACTTTTTTACTCATATGCACACTTTTATTATATTTATTTTTTTTATATTTTTTACTTATAATTGAGATTTTAATGAAAGTATATACAGAACTTGGATTTCCATTCATTTATTGCTACACATCTTTCTCCCTCTCACCCAACCCCCCAAGTTCAGTAATTTGAGAGCTGCCTCTGACTTCTAATGTATTCTATAACAAAGCAAAGAAGGTAGGCTGATCTATTGTCATTTTTTGGAAAATTATCTTTTTAGGAACCTGATTTAAATTATTTCCCATGATAACACATACTCTGATGTTCTTTTAATAATTTAAATGTCATTTAACCAAAGGAAAGCATAATTGCTTTTATTTTAGCAATATTTAAAATGTAATCAAGTTATTATAACCTAAAATTATGTTGAAATCTCCTTTTTTCTCTCAGGATTTTAGAGTCATTTAACAAATTTATTATCAACAAATGCAACTTTTTATATCCTTTTGCTTCCAAAAAAAGTCTTTTTAAGACATTAAAACCCAGTGTTCTCTTATGATAGGAAATATATATTTAATACGTGGAGGGAAAAGTAATTCTTTTTAATATATATTTTAGGTTTACTTTACTTTCTTGTTACCTGCTAATAAATTTCCACAAGTGAATTCCTTTTTGAAATGTAGAAGAATATATAGTATTACTAGAGAATTCCTTAAGTAAGTAACACCAATCAGACTTTTAGTTTCTTAAGAAAAGCTAATTTTGGCACTAACATCTTAATTTTCTCTATGTACTAAGAGAAATAAAGGGTAAGGGTGGCACTTTTATGATTAAAGTGTGCCTGATCCAAAGAATGGTGATTTTAATCATCTTGTATGACTGTGAAAGTTGAACAATGAATATAGAAGGCCGCAGAAGAACTGATAGCTTTGAATTTTAGTATGAGTGACAAATGCTGAATATACCATAAACTGTCAAAAGAACAAGCAAGTATATGTTGGAAGAAGTACAGTTAAAATGCTGAGAGTTTTGATGCTTTGTCTCAGATCCTTTGGGCATATTATCAGGGAAGCATATGACCCTGGAGACAGACATTATGCTTAATAGACTGTGACAAAAGAAAATTCTTAATGAAATAGAATGATTTAGTAGTTGCAGCCATGGGCTCAAACACAGTTGTTGTTGTTGTTGCTTTGTATCATCGAATTGGAACCAACTTATAGCTGACCCTGTGGCGAGTTTCCAGAGGCAGTTAATCACATACCCATCCTTTTCCACAGAGCAGCTGTTGGCCTTGAACTGCATGCTTTCAAGATTGCAGTGCAGCATCTTGCCACACTAGGCCACTAGTAGTGATTATGAAAATGGACCAAGACTGGGCAGTGTTTTGTTTTGTTGTACATACGGTTGTTAGAAATTTGAACTGATTCAACTGCATCTAATGACAGCAAGGAGAGAATTACCAGTTTATTTATCTGAAACCACCATATAATTCTTTTCAATATTTCAATGGCAATCATTCGTATCCTTTAGGTTAATTCCAATGGAAATTGTTCATTCCAGTGAAACTGTCTGAAGAGTCTAATTATTTGAGTAATCATTGAAATAGATGATCAACATTTTAGTTCTGATCTTATTTACCCAGGGCTATTGGTCATGTTGAGTGAAGAGCTAAACCAGAGCAAAATGGAGGGAAAGATAACTAATGAATAAATAATAATAATAAATAAAGTCTACACACCTCCTTACTCTCTAAAGCATTTCAATTTCCTATCTGTTTTAATCTTGCTCATGACCCTTATATTTCTCTTTAAATTATTATTCTTGTGTGAAGTACATAATGTTGTTGTTGTTGTTATGTGCCGTCGAGTCGTTTGCGACTCATAGTGACCCCATGTACAACAGCCTTAAACCGTGCTCTATCCTGCGCCAATCTCATTGCCTCTGACACACCCATCCCGAGTACCCCAGTCACTGAATCAATCCACCTCATAGAGGGTCTTTCCCTCCTGCACTGTCCCTCTACTCTACCCAGCATGATGTCCCTCTCTAAAGACCTGTCTCTCCTTACAACATGTCCAAAGTATGTCAGATGAAGCCCCAGAATCCTTGCCTCCAAGGAGTAGCCTGGTTTAACCCTCTCTAGGATGAATCTGTCTGTTTTCTTGGCAGTCCGTGGTAAATTCAATACTCTTCTCCAGCACCACAGCTCAAAGGCGTCAATTCTCCTTCTATCCTCCCTAGTCATTGTCCAACTCTCTGATGCATAACAAGTGATTGCAAAAACCATGGCCTGTATCAGGCAGACTTTAGTCTCCAGAGAGACACTGTTGTGTGTGTGAAGTACATAATAGAAATCAGAAAAGTAAAATTCAATTCCAGCAAGCCTATAAAGCAAGATTTTTCTCACCCATAGTCTCCTTCATTGATATATTCAATTAATTCTGGACGAACAAGGCATACATGCTGGGAACATTTCCATTGCTGTCCTGAACATGTGCTACAAAGATTAAAAAAATACAAAAATGAACTGATCCTCAGGAATACATTTCAGTATTAATAACAACAATAACATAGTGTTAAGACAGAAAACATAATTCCTAGATTAATTTTAAGCATATGGCTATTTAATTCTTATCAGAGAATGTTAATACATGCACAAGCTACCACTCAAGATCCTCTTATCTTTTATTCCATATATTGAATGAATGAAATGACCATAACTTCCTTGAATTTCAAGAATACAAGAAAATTTAGATTGTAGATTACTACATTTGCATCTGCAATAATTGTGCAGGCTAATCCTTTTTAAGTAATTATTGCCCTCAAGAAACAATTATTTGCTATTGGCATAATTGAATATTTATCATTAAGAGTTATACTTAATAACAGATCTGCTATAAAAGGAATGTTAAAACAGAAATAGTTAAACCTCTAAAAGTCATTATTATATTTTCAATACTAATCAAAAGTAAGTGAGCTTACTTTTAAAAGGTATAGATAAATAATCTGATTTTATCTATATGTGTATTTATATAGATGGTTAGTCTCACAAACATATCTATTATTTGAAGAAAACATATAAAGAAAATGGAATTTAGTTCAAAGCCACTTAAATTCATTACCAGGAATTGCAATTTTCTTTAATTATGGATCCTTCTTTGTAATGCTGACCACCTCTGAGGCAACCTGTTCAAATAAATATGAAATCAGATAAAAATACATAGGAAGCAAGCAAAATCAGTATTCAACTTTTCAAATAGTGCTACTCTATAATAATCTACATTAAGTTTGTGTCTAGATATATTTATCTAATTTCCCTAGGTTTGTTCCATAGAGAATTTATACTATCTTTAAAATTTATATTATAACAGAGATGATTTGGAAAGCATAAAAACTAGATTTCAAGGGGTAAATCATTAGCCTCTCTCAAAAACTATTAATGATTTAAAAAGAAATAGTTTAACAGATTTTGAGTCAAATTGTGAAATTTTTCCTTTAAAAAAATCTAATAAATTCTTGTATGTGAGCTTAGTTACAGAGCTCTGCTGGCCTATTGCTATAATTGCATGTAATTAGAACAAAGGTCCCAGCTTTCACCCAAAATACAAAGTCATTTTTGTGAATTACACGAAATAATTAATTCTGGAGGGTTTTTACGCCCAGGATTTTGACTAAAAAGAAAAAATTATGAAACCTGTAAGTTTGCAACCATTTCTATTTCAAACCCAGATATTTATTACTTAGTGTCTGGGACCGACTGTTAATTAGTTAAGCAAATCAAATAAATCCTTCAAAAGAAATAAATGGTGAATCACTGTAATCTAATAATTATCACTAAGGCATTATTAAAAGAATATCTATATTTTAGATGAAACTTTTATTAAAAATAAACTTGCATAAATTTAAATACCACATCAATATAACAAAAGACACTACATTGATGAAAGATTTTGAATGAAGCATGTAATCAATGGGGAGCTCGGGTGGTCTAGACTGTAGAAAGTTATGCTGCTAAACCAGAGCCAAAGCTTCTCTCCTGGGCTGAATCCTCTGTTCCGCAAGAAAAAGATAGCCAATCTCCTGTGCAATTTACAGTCTTAGAAACTCAGTGAAGAATTATATCTATGAATCAGACTCAACTCAACAACAATGAAAGAAAGATGTAATTTAAATTGTTATCATAAGGTGTCATCAAGTAGAGTATTATTTATGAGCAGCAGATCAAAACTTTGCCCTATTCTGTCACCATCGCAGTCTTTGTCATGCACAAGCTGACTGTTGCAACCATTATTGCAATCCATATCACCATTGACCCTCTAGATTATTAAGCATAATGTCTTTTTTTAAAAGATTGGCATCCTTAACAACATGCCCAAAGTACGTGAGATGAAGTTGTACAATCTTGCCTCCACGGAGCACTTGGGTTGTCCTTCCTCCAAGATGGACTTACTTGTTCTTTTGGCAGTCCATGGGATATTCAGCACTCTCTCCAATACTACAACACAAAGGCATCGATTCTCTTTTGGTCTTCCTCATTCACTGTCCAATGCAACTTATGTAATTTGCCACTGAGTTGAAAACAACTCATAGGAAAATGCCATGAACAAAATATCTGAATCTTGCCCATTCCTGAGCCACCAACATGGGCCCTGTTTGATGTTCAATGTTCAAGCCTATTGTTACAGTCTGTGTGTCAATCCATTTTTTATGGTCTTCCTCTATTTCTCTGATGTGACACTTTTCTCAGAATGATGCCTTTTTCAAGATTGGTCCCTTCTGACAACATTCTCAAAATATGAGATATCAAGTTTCATTTTCCTTGCCCCTACAGAACACTAATATTGCACTTCCTCTAAGATATATTTATTTGTTCTTTCTTAAGTCTAAGGGATAGTCAGTTCTCTTCTCCAACACCAGAATTCAAAAACATCAATTATTCTTTCATTATACTTATTCATTGCCCAACTTTAAGATGCACAGGAAGTAACTGAAAAGGCCCTGGCTTAGATTAGACACACCTTAGTATTTACACTGATACATTTGCTCTTCAGCACCTTGAAGAGGTCCTCAATAGCAGATTTTTTCCCAATGCAATACAACTTATTGTGTCTTGCCTGCCGTTACCAGAGTTTTTATTTGAGATCCAAGTAAACTGAAATCATTGATAATATCAATCTTTTCTCTATTGACCATGTAGCCTATAAGAGCAATAATGAGGATTTTTGTTTTCTTGATTCTTAGTCATAATTCCCATGAATAGTCTTTGATCTTCAGCAGTAAGTGCTTCAAATTTGGATCACATCAAACCACAAAATTAGACATATACCTCCAGAAAGCTGAAAAAAAATCTATATCTCACACCATATTAAAAAGTTAACTCAAAGTAGATTAAGCATTTCAAAGTAAAAAGAAAATTATAAATACCATCAGAGAAAAATAGCAACCAATTACAAGCCCTAATCTATGGTAAGCATTTGCAAACAAGAGCTATAAAATAAACAACATCACAACAACACATTGGTAATCTCCCTAATATAGCAAAATGAAATATAATGTTCCCATAAGAGAAAGCTATACAACAGCAAAGATACAAATATCACACTTCTTTCTTGTCTAGACAGAAAACAGATAAGAATCTCTCCATTAAAGACATCAGAAAACATAGTAATATCCTCAAAAAGATGAATTTACAGTAATTATAACAATGGACTAGAGTATGACATAGATCCTGAGGATGGCATAGGATAGGGTAAAGTTGCTCATGTGGTAATTGTTAGATGCAATAGACTTAATTACACCTAATAGAAACAACAATCAATAGCAAACTCTATACTGAGACAATTATCTGAGAAACTGTAATCTATGAAGAAGAATGTGGCATCAGGATTAGAGGAAGACTGATCAATAATCTACAATACGCAGATGACACAATCTTACATGCTGAAAGTGAGGGGACATGAAGCACTTGCTACAGATCAAAGACTGAAGTCTTTGATATGAAATGGATCAAAACATGAATAAAACAAAAATGCTCATTATTAAGCCAACGGGCAATATCATGATAGATGGGGAAAAGACTGAAACTGTCAACAAATTCATCTTACTTGGATACACAGTTGATCCAATTGGTACCAGGATATCAGGATACATATTGCACTGAGAAAGTCTACAGTTAGGGACCTCTCCAAATTTTTTAGTATCGATGATGTCAGTTCATGGACAAAGATGTGCCTTATTCAAGCCCTATATTCTTACAATCACTTGCTGAGAATCTGAGAACTGTACAGTGAATAAGATTGACATAAGAACAATGGATGCCTTTGAGCTGTAGTGTTGAATAAGAGTACTAAATATCCCATGGACTGCGAAAAGGACAAACAGAGGTGTCTTGGAGAAAGTGTGGTCAAAGTGCTCCTTGAAGGCAAAGGTGATAAAACTTCATCTCACATACTTTGGGTGTCTTGCTAGGAGAGGCTAGTCTTTGGAGAGGAGAATCATGCTTGGAAAGGTTGAGGGAAGGTTGGTGAAAGATAGGAAGACACTTAATGAGATGGATTGACACAGTAACTACAATAATGGATTTGAGTATGTCAGAATTTGTAGTTGTTGGCACAGGATATGACAGAGTTGAAATCAATACTTGACTCAATGACATATAACAACAGCATAGATTATCATTCATAGCCAAAAAAATGCCTAGCCAGGAAAGGGATGAATGGGATCTTCCAAAAAATAAATTTTTATGTGAGCCAAAAAAATTTCTTCAAAGAGCATAAACTGACTCTGCAGATTGGGGAAAAGATAATTGGCAATGACATATTGATAAGAGACTAATAGCTTATATGATGAAAACTCCAACACCTGAACAATAAAATACAAACAATGCAATTGCAAATGAACAGAGAATATGAACATTCTTCACTGAAAGACATTCAGATGAGTAAAAACAACATGAAGAAATATCCAGGATCACTAGAAAGACACAAATAAAAGCAACAATTAGACATAATCTCACAGCAGCAAGAAAAGCAATGCAACAGCACAATAAATAACAAATGTTGATGAGGATGTAGTGAAATTGGTATTCTCAGAAACTACTCATGAGAATGTAAAATGATTCAACTACTAAGGAAAACAGTAAAATAGTTTGGAACTTCCCTAAAAATTAAAAAATATAAGTACAATTTTATCTATCTTGAACACTACTGGGAATAAACCAGTGTGTGTGTGTGTGTGTGTGTGTGTGTGTGTGTAGTGTGACAGTAACTTCACAATAGTAAAAAAAAGATGGAAACAATTTAGATGTCCATGAAAGAGCAAAGGCATACAGATACTATGGTACACTCACATAATGGGATATACTATGCAGCAGTGAAAAATAAAGGAAGGTTCAATGTAACACTATAAATGAGTCTAGAGGACATTACATTGAGTGAAATATGTTGGTCACAAAAAGAAAAATACTATATAAGGTAACTGTTATAAAACACTAGAGAAAAGTTTACAAACAGAAAGAATCAGTTTAGTACAGCTATCAGGGTAGGGAAGAGAGGGACAGAAAAGAAAATGAATTTATAGACAATGAAACAGGGATAGAAGAAAGTAAGGACAATGTGGATTGCACATTGTGTGTTTTATAATTGGAGTTGTGGAATAAAATGTGCCTCAACAATCAAGGACAAAAAGAAGACAGTACAATTAAAAAGCAAAACAACCAACAAACAACAACAACACAAAAAAACCAACCCCAACACACCAACAACAAAAGACAAAGAATGAAATTAAATTTTAAAAAAAAGTTAAAAATTATACTTTAGTCTGTCTTCAGTATTAGTGTACACAGAAATTAGATTACCATTTGATTATTTCTATAGAAATTGTTTAGTGACATCAATTGTACTATTTACAATATATCAACTTTTATTCTTTTGTATCACAGCTATTCTATTTCCGGGAATACTACTTCCTCTGCCCTCTTAGTTATTATTTACAGTAACTATTTCGGGAAATACTGTATGAGCCAATGGTAATAAAGGAGGAAGTGGAAGCTATATTGAAGGTATTGGCAAAAATAAGGCCCAGGAATTAATAGGATATCAAATGACTTGTTTCGATTAACAGATGCAGTCTGTACCAGGAAATTTGGAGCTTAACTGTCTGGCAAATGGACTAGAAGAAGTCTATAT